ATGGATTTTAATATAATTTTTAGAATATAAGATTATATATAAGTAATTAGTATATAAAATTAACACGATTGTCCCTACTAAACCTTGTACCCAACAGGGGATAATTTTTAAATCGAATTGTGTCTAGATTTTTAAAATGTAACTCTAAGGAATTAATCGGATTTATTGAATATTTTCTACAGTCGCCACTGGTGTCAAGTATTATTGTCAATAGCAATAACAAAAATTTTTTTTAGAGTCATGATAATTATCAAGTGTATTTAATACAATTAGTGTACTTTAATATAGCATTTTACCCTTAATCCATCTTGGATTAAATAAATTTGAACACTGCAGCAACATTAATTATTACTAAATTTAAATAAAGGATAGTTAGTATATATTATCTTTCTNAAAAGGATAATTAGTATATATTATCTTTCTATTTATATTTGTTGGAGTAGTGTTAACAATGCTTTTAACCCAATAAAAAAAAAAAAAAATTATAGCTTAAAAAAAATAAAAAATTGAATTTAAAAACATTGCAAGAGAAGATATCTCCAAAATCAAGTAAGAAAAATGATTCGGGAGATTAAATCTACTAGCGTTCAGCTACATATGAAAAATTATGTAATATAGAAAATGAAATAAGATGAATAACGGACTGCCAAGAAGAAATGGATAGATACAAATATTATATGAATACAAAAAATATTGTAGGAATATACTAGCTGAAAGAATAATAAAGTTAAAAAGAGAATTAAATGAACAGTGTGTGAGTTGATTGATGAAATTGTACAAAAGTTATGTTTTAATTATATGCCATTACCAATTTTAGGCTGATAAAGTAGCATTACATTTAAAAGATAAAAAAGCTGAAATTNATATGCCATTACCAATTTTAGGCTGATAAAGTAGCATTACATTTAAAAGATAAAAAAGCTGAAATTGAACGTTTAGCTATATAAGAAAAATTATGTAATCCAGAAATGAAGAATTTGTTGACAATGCATTCAAAACTATAGAAAAATGCAAAAAGATAGGAAACCAATAATATCTCTTCTTAAAGAATTAGAGGTTTAAAATTAAAAATTTGTGTTTTATATTTTTGTATATAAATATAAATATAATTTTATAAATTATATTAAATAACATTAAAACTATATTAAAAATATTACAAACAATACATACGGTATACGTTTAGTGTTGATAATAACATTGTTTCTGAAATACGTTACTTTTTAGTAACTTTTTGTGGCTTTTAAGTTTAATATTTTTTATTTTTTAAATTAATAATATTTTTAATATAGTTTTAATTTTATTTAGTTAATTAGCCACATGTGATTATTTTTTATTATATATTTATAAATTATAAACTAAGACAAAATAATGTTCATTTTAAATTAAAGTAAAAAATAAATACAAATAGTTAATAAAACAAATTTAAGTAAATGGTACTTATCAAGTCTTTGATCTATGTGATCCATGGAATTTTTTTTTTTGGTAAATTATAATATGTTTTATCTAATTGATTTCCAGTATATCTTTATGCAGTCATTTTCATACGTCTTATAGCAATTACACAAAATTACTAAAATTCCAAAATAAAACCATATTTAGCTGAATGATATTCAAACTTACTTAAATTTAGACATATTACGTTTACCTCATAGTTTTTTCATTGTACTTTTAAAAAGGACAACTCAAGCTCAGGGATAATAAGTCTTAATAGCTTGTCATTACCACGAACTAGTAGTAGCAGACTGTAGATAAGTGATATTTTTTTTGAAATTTAAGAATTAAGTTTACAGAAAATCATTGTTTACTTTTTCACTCAATATATTACTTAATTCTTTAGCATAGCTTTGCAAATCTATCGCTTGCTTTTGTATTGTTTTCTAAAAATAAAATAATAATAAAAATTAGTCTATTTTTTTTAATTTATTAAAAAATTTTCTAACCTTTGTTTTACAGTGATCAATATTTTCTTCCGCTAGTTTTTTTATATTTTGACTTGTTATCATTGATTTAACTTCTTCTATATATGCTTTAATTTTGTTGTATTTTTAACGGTATTTGATTACTTTGCTTGTTAATTTTGTCTTTTCTACCTCCAAATTTGTCTAGAATTTTTTAAAAATATTTTAATAAAGTTATAAATAAAAATCTCTAGTAAAATTTTGTTATTACAATTAATCTAGATTGTTTTCGATATAATTCTTCTTGAAGTTTAAAATCCTTAATGTTACTTTCTAATTTCTCACATTCATCAAGGAAATGCTTATCTTGAAATTCACCTTCCAACTTTCTAGCTATAAAATGTTTGGTATGTTTAGTAAATTTATTAATAACTGATAAAGCTACTTAAAAATAAGTATTTAATGGATGCATGAAAAATATTATTAGATTAATTTGTTAAATTTCTCCTAAAAGAATANGAAAAATATTATTAGATTAATTTGTTAAATTTCTCCTAAAAGAATAATTTTGTGAAGAAAATTATTTTCAGTATTTTTAAGTTTCATATTTATCTTAATTTATGTATTTTTTTTTAAAGTACAACTAAATATTTAATTAATTTATTGAAAAAAAAAATGATCAAATAAGAAAATGACTGATCAATAACGTCTTTTGCATTAGTACTTCAAAAATGTATTAACAATTTTATTAACTACAAAGGAGAAGATGGGTGAAGAAATTTCTAATGATAATTATTGTTATACTTGTACATGACATTGTCTCCAAAAATTAAAATTTTTAAATAAATATTTATTAATCAAGGGTGAATGCTATAAATAGATAAGTGCTATGAATTCTTAACAATGTCATAGACGTTCGTTAGAGCATAATTAATTTATAATGTTCACACCTAATATTCATAAATTCTCATTTTTACATGATCAAATAAATAATTTGTTGAGGGCAGACAAAGGTGATGCAGTTCAATTTTTGGTGTTA